CAATGCGTGATAATATGCACTTGTGTTTCATACACATATATGAATAAACATTTAAACTTGGTGTATTAATATAGGCCTTTATTGGTTTTACCTGCAAACGCATACCACTTCACGAAGACGAGTGCGTGTTGATCTCTTTGTTTTCTGGTTCACTCGTTATTCACTGCTGTCTCACCGAGAGCAAACAAGCATCATGGCGGCCGGGAGATTTTTTGGTCTGTGATAAGAGCGCTCGACGCCATTGGCTGGCACGGGAATGGCCAGAACCTGAGCGCTTTCTCACGCACAACGCCTCCGCAACGCTCAGTCAAAAGATGTTGTTTTTCTCTTCGCGCGTAGACGTTGTCGTCTTTCATTGGTCTAAAATTGTTAGCACGACAATTTAAGCCAACCAGAGAAAAGTGCGTGTTATAAATGAAGGGGAAAGCAACGTTCTCGCACATGTTGTTGGAAAACAGCGCTGCAATTGATAGCAGATAACGTTAGCAAGATCTTGGGGACCAAATGTACTTTAGCTAGCTTCCTAACTGCTCAGCTCAGTATTCAGAATGAGATCCAAGCATTAAAGAAATTACTATGCTTTCAATCTGTATTAGGTCTGTATTCTTGGAATAAGCGCAGTAATGTTTTACCCATCAGAGAGTTTAAATGTATGCGCTACAATGACACCTTGAAAATTCTGCAGATCTTTGAACTAATGTCTATTCAAAGGGATTATGAGTGTTAATTTATTGTGATAAAATAAACACTATGTATTAATTAATCATTGCAACGAATGCCAATGGGACCATAGCAAATTCGCAAGACAAAATATACAAAATATACATTTATGTCAATGTGATATTCCGCCTGTTAGGTGCTTGGAAAGCTTTCCACTGACCATTGAAGATAAATGTGACATCAGTGATGACAAGTTAATTCGGTGTTAAAACGTCGTCATTTTAAAGCAGAACGTTGCCTAGCTTGGAATTACTGAAGGTAATTAGGATAACTTTGACAGTGCTATCAATTACTTGAATAGCTATTGTTTATGATACACCGTGCAGACCTTGTGTGGTTTGAATAGCACATTGATCATTTTTAACGTGTTAAAAATTGATATGGCTGTAGCACAGATTGCCACTCATATTTGAAGTTATATCTCTGATGTAGCTGAGTCCTCTCTGCAAGGACTGTGTTAAGTGTCAGCTTAGTGGCACACATGGGCTCTCAGATGGGGTGTTTGTGATGAAAGCATAGATTTCACTTCCAGTCTCAGGAGTTAAAAAGCCAAGCAGCCCCCTTTTAGTGACGTGCTGGGTTACTGGGATGTGGCAGAATAGCACTGACTCACGTAACCCTCATGCTGGGTGGCTAAACTCACTCTTAGATCGTTGGGGAGTTCATGCTTTAGATTGCCATAGCAACAATAAATCAGTGAACAATGAAATCGTTTAGACCCTTAGAGCTTGACTTCCTGGTGCCTCTACAGATTGCAACTGTTCTGGATGTATGCAAGTGTACCCTATAGGACGCCGGAGTCATTTTTAAATGAACATTCAACACCAGGCATCCCTCAATGGGTGAATTTGTTCACATACTCTTGTTGATGCTTCCTTGAGGGCCAAAACCAAAAATAAAAAGGGCTTGGATGAATGCAGGATTTTGGAAAACCCTTTTTGTAATGCTTACAAACATGAAAATATTTCTCCTGCTTTCCTGAGTGTTAATGGTGTGTAGGTGTATAGACGGAGGTGCTCACCGTTTGTGGGGTTGATTAGGAATGCGAAGACAACAGGGCGGTGCTGTCTGATCTCACACAACAAAGGAGCTCTCTCCAGGAGATGATGGGAAGCAGAAGCTGTGGTTCCCTTTGAGCGCCTCGTGTGTGTCTGACAGGGTTTCTCAACAGCAAACGGATAAAACACCCTGCACCATCCAGGCATGGCTTTGCGGAGCTCTGTCATCTACAACAGTGAGGGGGCTCTGAGATTTTCCAGAATGCACTCACTGATGGCACCATAAAATGCAGAAATTGGCAAAGCCCTTCATCCACCTCTAGCTTACTGTCATTTGCTTTCTGTCTGGGATACCAAGACACCTGCTTAATTTTAAATAGCCTATAACTGGGCAAAAATATTATTCTAGCGTATTCTTAAATACTATATACTTCCTTATAAAGTCAGATTATATTGAAAGTGTATGGAGCTTCATTCTTTTACAAACAATACCTTGACAGACTGTATTGAAATTTCAGCAAGTGCCCTTATTTGTAATAACTGGATTTAATTGTCTGGAGTACTTCTGGTTAAGCGTCTTTGCTCATGGGCAAGGCAGTGGTACCACACCTGAGATTTCAATTCCAGCGTTCAAAAGAATAATCACTGCCCTGTGTTCCTGCTCACACCTCAAGCAGCCAGTTGCCTGATTGCTCTTTGTCTCCTTTCCAAAATTGGCGACCCAGTTTACAGCCAAGCCGTAGACACGACCGTGGACCCAGAGAGACTGTGGGGCACACCCCTCCCCCCCCCACCCCACCCCACACACTGCTAAATGAGAGGGAATAACAGCTTCCTGTAAAAGCGAACACCACATTAAAATTGCAGGAACCGTGAAGAGAATTATCCCTGCAGACTTGTAAATGTGCCAGCCGAACCGCACCATGCAAAATGGGACCTGACAGACCGGCTTCCCGGATGCAATCCGAGACTCCTTTGCGCCCATCCGAAACGTGCTCCAGTCACCCTCCTGCTGCATATTCACACGTTGACACGGGGCGCTCACTTGTAAATAAGTGTGGCGGAGCTTGAAGCGTGAGCGTGCCGGCTGAGCAGCGACACTGTGACCTCATTAGAATAACCAAGTTCTTGTGCATATGTGTCTACGTGTATGTCCAAGAGAGCTCATTTTTCATTTTGCGCGGAGACAAATTTAAAATTGCCTGTGTTGACGGGCAGCCCTTGGGAACAGGTGAATTCTAAGTGAGAGACTGTTTAACACCCCCAAACCAATCCCCAAGCTCTCTTTGTTTTTGAAGTCTGTGATATGAGTCAACTCCCTTGCTGGTATGATGGTGATGTGGGCATGAGCTTCACCTGACAGGGAGATTTCTGACAGTGCTCTCTTGTGGCCATGGTTGGAAGTGCAGCTCCAGGGTATACCTTTCAGAGACATACCCGATTGCATTTTGTCAGGAGAAACATTTATGATTTACAGTGAGTTTGGCAGAAAATTGTAGCTGCTAGCTGGAGGGAACTTCCACCAGTGATGCAGTATATGTGGATTCCTTCTTGTCTAGTTTCTGTTAAGTTCTCCACTTACACTGTCAACATTATTTACTGAAGTGTTCACACCAGCATTGCAAGCATCGGGGTTGCAGTTACAGGGAAATGCATATTGACAGTAATAATTAAACTTCACCTCCAATGGGCGTGTCCACATCATGGGCGGGGGTCTTCATCTGTGAGACAGCCAATCAGGGTAACGTTAGAAGTATATAACCATCACATAGGAGGCACAGATACCACAAAAATCACTTGAACTACACAGACACTGCCCATATCTTGCACAGAGAGAGCAGACTGAGGGCACCAGCAGTAGATGACTTGACTTGAAAGGATCTGCAATATTGACTTGTTGGCTTCAAAGGCACATTTCAAGCTCTGTTCTCTAGCCAGTGTGTCACACTGCTGCCCACCGATTCTCAGTCAGTTTGTCCCCATTTCTTTTGTATAATACAGTAAATTGCCACCGAGACACCAGTTTACAGTCCAGGAGTAGATACGTGTAAGAGCCATGAGATGCAATCTCGATTTCTTTTACACACACACATACAAGCTAATGGTTCACTGAAGGGGCACAAACCTGTTTTCTTCACACCTTCAATGTGTTCTATCCTTTGCTATAGCTCATGGTTCAGTGACCACACACACACACACACACACACACGCATTTACTGTACGACCGTGATTGTCTACTGATCCCTTTTGTGCAACCTTGACAACATCTATCTCAAACAAGTGTACGGCAGAAAAAATCTTAAAATACGTAAGACCAGAAAAATGACAGTATAACTGCGTATCGGGGGAGCTAAGTATAGTGCCATAAACAGAATGCTCACACCAACCAAACCAATGCTCACACCAACAGAATGCTCACACCAACCAAACAGAATGCTCACACCAACCAAACTATCTGGTCTATACATTAAGAATTTGTGTTCAAAATGACCTGAGAAACAGTTACATGTGTCAGAATTGATGCCAGAACTCTTGTGAATGGGAAGTGTTTCTGCATTTGACGATGTGGTTTTAAAATAAATACAAGTATTAAAACCCAGATGCTTTTGATCCATAACCAGTACCTTGAATAAGAGGAAGTTTTAATTGCATGTATAAATGAGTGACTCACTATATACCTGTTAGCTAGGTATGTACCAAAGATGTGAGTGAGCCACCTAGCAAATAACTTTGCGAGGGACTGGGGACTTAGTACACTAACTAGCTGATGAAAAATTGGCTGAAAATAAAATTACAGAGAGTATAGGTAACTAGCGGTGTAGCTAGCTAGCAAGTTGGCTAGTGAGACCACTGATTGAAATCCAGCTAGCTAGTACTGTTTGCAATCTTCTGGTTTTAGGGTCTCCACCAACTGTACAGAGGACATAGCAGAAATAAGGCATCCCTGCAAAGGGAAGAAAAAATGCGCCAGCGCTTAAAAAACAATAAATATTTATTTATAAACTGCATAAAGCCTGAACAGAAGTGCAAACGTCAGTGCTGGCAGGTGCCAAGCAGGTGGTTCTGCAGGAGAGAGAACGACTCCTGCAACTGGGGAGGGAGGGCGTGGCCCAGGTCAGCCGACACCCGAAACAGGAAGAAGTCTGCAGCTTCCTGCACTGCCTCGCTGGTGATCTGGTCGTATATTGTGCGTATCGGGGCGCGGCTGCAACTGGCGCGCTCGGTGATGGGTTGCCGCAGGTGACCTGGGGGAGGAGAAAGGGCAGTCAGGTGCTTGAGTGCGGCAGTGTAGCATAGTGGTTAAGGAGCAGGACTCGTAACTGAAAGGTTGTCGGTTCGATTCCCACCGGGGGCACTGCTGCTGTATCCTTGGGCAAGGTACTTAACCCACAATTGCCTCAGTAAATATTCAGCTGTATAAATGGATAAATTGATGTAAGTGATAAATTGCTGTAATTGATGTAAGTCGCTCTGGATAAGAGTGTCTGCTAAATGCCAACAATGTAATGTAATGTAATAAATGCACCTATGGCTGTGTGTGTGAGGGAGGTGAACACGTGCTCATGCACACACAGTAGCATAAGTCTCCCTGCTTTGCAGAAGGAGGAAAAGAAAACATGAGGTTGTAGACTCCAAGGAATGAAACATTTATGTCACCCCTGTTAATGAAAGTTCTACCGGCGGCGTTTGCCTTACCTTCTGTAACCTCCTCGTAGCTGAGCAGCAGCATCCACAGGAGCTGGATCAGCTCACTCCATTTCCTCCACCTCTCAGAGCCATCCTGGCACACACACAGAGGAGCGTCGTTACTGTGTACAGATCAGTGGAAGCACTGATGTCTGGAGGAGGCGGGTGTGTCTAAAGTGGATACTGGGGTGTGTTGTGTTTTTATGGGGGGCATGCTGAGATACCATTTCCTGGTATCTGTAGGAACAGGGGGGTCTGCGTGTGCGGTATCTATAGGAACAGGGGGGTCTGCGTGTGCGGTATCTATAGGAACAGGGGGGTCTGCGTGTGCGGTATCTATAGGAACAGGGGGGTCTGCATGTGTGGTATCTATAGGAACAGGGGCGTCTGCATGCATGATGTCTGTAGGAACAGAGGTGACTGGGTGCGTGGTATCTGTGGTATTTGCCTGTGTGATATCTGTAGGAGCAGGGGGGGGTCTGGGTGTGTGGTATGTCAGGGGGGGCAGGCGTGCAGTATCCCAGTGTGCAATGCTCACCATGGGGTCAGGGGACAGCGTCGAGCTCTGGAAAAAGTGCAGTAGCAGGCTCAGAGACATGGGCAGTGTGGTCTTCTCTGTGCATCTGTCCTCCAGCAGAAGCTTCAGCAGCTTGCACTGCAGCAGCCTGCTCTCCAGGGTCTGCAGCAGCAGCAACCTGGGAGGCAGAGACACGGGCCAGGGGACAGGGGACAGGGGACACGGGACAGGGGAACGGGGGACACGGGCCAGGGGAGAGGGGACAGGGATAGGGGCCAGAGGGCAGGGGACAGGGATAGGGGATAGGGGACAGGAGTTAGAGGACAAGGGACAGGGGGAGAGGGGGCCAGGGGGACAGGGGACAGGACAGGGGAAGCGCTACCTCATTGGCTTGCTTCATCAATGCCCGCAGACTGGCTGCACTGAGATTCCTGCAGGAGGCTAGCCACGTGGTTTAAGCCTCAGTAAAGCTTCAGCGGGTTATGACAAAATCACCATAAAAATCTGATGAAATAAACTGTTTCCTCTTTCTCCCAACCGTTGCATGGGGATTGGTGGCCGGCCTGGCCATCTTGGGAATCCCCCAGTTCACCCTAAACGGTAACCCTGCCGGAAACCTGTCCCAACCGTGGGCCCTTACCGGTGGTGTCGGTGCAGGATGGTGCTGAGGGTCTGGAGCAGCTCGTGGGACAGTTTGTCGCAGCTGATGGTGGGGGAGCGGTCCACCTCCATGGCCAGAGCGAGCATCCTCTGCAGGATCGACACTATTCTGCAGCAGGGAAGCAGGCAAAAGCATCAATGTGTGGCTGGGCACACAAACAAAATATATATAATATACATATATATAATTTTTTTTTAAAACTTGTTAATGAGTTACAATCATACTATTTAGAATAATGGAATAATAAAGGCTCTTAATGTCACAATAATACAGTTCTACATTTTAATTCATACAGCTGTGGGACATAGTGGAATGAGAGGAGAGTGGGAATGAATGCAGAGAGGAGTGGAAGGAGACTGGGAGTGAAAGCAGAGAGGAATGAAATGAGAGTTGAAATCAAGGCGGAGAGGAATGAAATGAGAGTTGGAGTAAAAGCAGAGAGGAATGAAATGAGAGTTGAAATCAAGGCGGAGAGGAATGAAATGAGAGTTGGAGTATAAGCAGAGAGGAATGAAATGAGAGTTGAAATCAAGGCGGAGAGGAATGAAATGAGAGTTGGAGTATAAGCAGAGAGGAATGAAATGAGAGTTGAAATCAAGGCGAAGAGGAATGAAATGAGAGTTGGAGTATAAGCAGAGAGGAATGAAATGAGAGTTGAAATCAAGGCGGAGAGGAATGAAATGAGAGTTGGAGTAAAAGCAGAGAGGAATGAAATGAGAGTTGGAGTGAAAGCAGAGAGGAATGAAATGAGAGTTGGAGTGAAAGCAGAGAGGAAAGGGGTACTTGCACTACATGGACCAGCCCTAAGAGAGGGCAATCCACCAAACTAAACTGAGCAAAATTATGTTGGCAGGTTTCTATCGTACCTCCATGGAGTATGAAATGGCACATTCTGCCTACAGCTGGCAACAGGCCTGTGAGGACAACTGTGTCTCTAAAGAGCAATAAAAAATACAGAGCTGAGGAAGTTAGTCTCACCTGAGATTCTCCTCTCTCTCCTCCTCCTGTTCTCCCTCCCTGGCTTCAGGAGCATTTCCCTCAGGGTCACCTGTTGAATTCCTCACAGCTGCAACCAGCCAACTGATCACATCTCTGAAAAACAACCACTGTTCAAATGGACTTTTTGTGAAGTTAAGGTAACATGCTTTTAACAGCTAAAATAACTAAGACACTGCAGGAAAAAAAATGAGAAAAAAGTGTATAAATGCAAACAGAATGTTCACATGAAGATGAAAACAAGCTACATGTTGCCAGAAACCACAGATCTTTCAAACTGAACTGACTGAGTTATGGTCAAAAGCACACTGAGAGACAACGTTTGAGAAATGTGGCATTAGTTCAACAGGTGAATTCTGGGAAGATGTATGCATTATTCATGTTTACAATTCAATTATGCACATCTCAAGACAGCAGTAGTGTTTAAAATATTGGACATAGCTATGACCAACAGTTCGCACACGTCTATAGTCTGTGCCTGTTGAAGGTACCAAGAGTGCTGACATGTAAAGTCATATGTGATAGCATTAATGGCCATAACAGGCATGGCTTATAACTAAGGACAGCAAAAGCATTTCACAAAACTTCGACACTGAGAATAAACATGCCAGATCCGAGCCACACCAAGCAATGCTGGCAAGAGCTGCGTGAGGAAGGAAGTCAGGAAGCCAGAACAAAGACAGCCATTCCAGCCTGAAAGCGTAATGACAGGAAAGCTGGCTGCTCACCTGACGTGCATGAACTGTCGAAAGCAGGAGAGGGTTGCCGCGACGATGGAGCCGTGCAGCCTCTGCAGAGAGAGCTGGAAGTCGTCCTCCAGCGTCTGCAGGATGTACTGCAGGAGCATGCGTAGGACGGCGCTCGGACGCCTCCTCTCTGGGCCCTGGGGTTGCAGGGGAAAGGGATGCATCACCAAATTTCATGCGCAACAAAACTACAACTTCACTTCATACAGTAACCATCCCCAAACAACAAAGGGGAATAATTCCAACTAGTGCTTACATCAAAGCACTGTCTCCTGCTATAGCCTGTATCCCAAAGGACACACATGCGGGTCTACCAATGGTACTCAGTCAGTGACAACAATAAGGTTCTTGCCACAATTTTTCAAGTGTAATAATCATACGGGAATGACTAATATGAGGTAAAATAATGATGTAGAGGTCTTGCTGCATCTGTGTTCACCAAACAAACAAAAAAGGCAGCTTGTACATCAGCTCCAGCCTTCAGATGCCTCTCTGAAACCTTGATGTGGATAACGTGTATTTGTATAACTATTAACACATCAGTGTGCCTCTGTTTGGAAGCAGCCCAAACCACAGTGAGTGCCACTGGGTGGCAGAGAATAAGGGCAGATACACATTTCATCCCTGGCCCCCACCCCCCTTTTTCCATCTCCTTTTATCATTGCCTGTGGGTCATGGTACATTATGTAACTTGATAATATACCATGGTATTGTATGCATTTACATGACTTCTTCCCACAGTTTCAGGGTTGTCTTAGTTTACGATTACCATAAGTTAACTTCTGCAGATGCTTGAACGGCGTTGTGTCTGGGAGTGTTGCCAACCAGGTCTGGCACTGTTGCTCATACAAGTTGAGCGGATACACTTTTGTTCGCTTCTGCTGGAAGTCTCTCTGCCTGAGAGCATCTGCTAAATGCATGTAATATAATGGAATGTAATGCTGTCACAGGACCTGCGAAAGGGTTCTGTCCATACCTGCGGGTGCATGACAGAGCTCAGCAGCTCCCAGTCCCACTGCACTGTGGCCTGTGTGGCCGGGTGGTGTCTGCAGCCGGGGGGGAAGAACAGGCAGCAGCACTGATTCAGTACATTTCCCTGTTTGTTCAAAACAGACTGAAACCGGGCGCTGTCTCTTAGCAAGGATCTTACTATCGATAATTCTTAAGGAATTCAACGAAACTACAGTAATACATGTTAATGCACTAAACAGAAACTGCGCCCTCTGCTGGTGACAGTACAAAAGTAGGCTTAGGGCAAGCTGGTGCGCACAAGTACTCACTGAATCCTTTTTGAATGGAATTGAATGGGAAAAAAAAACCCATAGGTCTAATTTTTAGGTTACAATATTTACAAAGGTACTACCACTGCACGTCCACTGACTGTGTCATGCCCTATCACAGCACCACATACATCAAATAATGCTCCTTTCTAGGTTGACCCTTACTCAACTTAACTGACAAAAACTTAAAATGAAGTTCACTCAACTTACTTCATAGAACATTACTACAGACTAAGGACTTAATTTTATAGTTCAGATGTGGTGTCACCTCCAGACTTTCAAACCATGCAATCCTGTAGATCCTATAGCAGTACAGTGGTCCAGTAAAGTGGTTTCTGTGTTTCTGATTCCGTGCACTCACTTCTGTATCCTCATCAGCAGGCTGAAGGCCTCCGTGACCAGAGGAAGGTCATACTCAGGGTTCAGTAGAATGTCCCTGATCAGGTGGGACGTTACACTGGCGGGGGG